TATAAATAATTACAGACCCATATCAAATCTACCTATACTATCAAAAATATTTGAAAAAATGATTTACAAACAGCTCTATTCCTATCTCGTAAAATTCAATATACTAAGTCCCTGTCAGATTGGCTTCCACTCCCAGAAGAGTACCAATGATGCTATTGTTAGTCTGCTTGACTTAATCAACTCAGCCCTTGACAAAAGTGAGTTTCCGATTTGACTCTTCATTGACCTGAGAAAGGGCTTTGATACTGTTAACCATAACTACCTCTTACTTAAACTCCACCATTATGGAATCCGTGGCCATGCCCTGAACTATATCCGATTCTATCTTAGTGACAGACACCAATATGTAGCCATCAATGATATAACCTATACCACTAACCGTAGGGGTGCCACTGGGCAGCATCCTAGGACCCTCCTGTTTCTTGTAAACATCAATGATCTGCCTAATGTCTCTAACATGCTTAAACCTATAATGTTTGCTGATGATACTACTCTCATCTACTCTGACCCCAACCCACTCATAATAAATAATGTTGTAAACAATATATTAAAAAAAAGTACACTTGTGGATGTCAACCAACAAACTCACACTAAACATAGAAAAGACCTACTACATCTTATTTGGAAGCAATCAACAAATGCAATTCAGCTTCAGATAGATAATGTAAACATTAGCAATAAAAATTATGGAAAGTTCCTTGGCCTATACTTAGACAAGAGACTCAACTTCAGCACCCAAATACAACACATAACTAAAAGGGTTTCTAAAACAGTTGGTATACTCTCTAAGATCAGATATTATGTACCCTACTTTGCTCTCCTCTCACTCTATTATGCACTTATCTATCTCTGTCTTACTTATGGTATCCGTGCTTGGGGTTCAACCTATGCAAACTACCTCAAGCCCATCATCACCCAGCAAAAAACTGCTATCAGGACAATAACAAACTCTGCTTTCAGACAACACACAGCTCCCCTGTTCCCTAAACATTCTAAACATAAATTCATTCCATATATTCTCTTGTGTCAATTACATTTATAAAACTCTTTTCTTAAGTGCAAACTCTGTTCTGAAACTCTTCCTGGACAGATGTAATAGAACATATACTCACCACACCAGACATAAATATATCTTTGATATCCCCAGAGTCAAACTTAATCTGTACAAACACTAAATGCAAATAAAGAGACTTAGTCTATGGAACTCACTCCCTAATGAATTGAAAAAGTTGCCCAACTTTTACCTTATACAAAAATAAAACCAAAAAGTACCTAATTTCATCTTCATAGTTTTCTACCAAGTGCTTTATCTCGCACTGTACCTATTGCTACCCAATCCCCCAATCAGAATCCCCAAAAGACTGTACCTCTCTCAACCAGTTTAAGATAAAAACGAAGCTATACCTAATAAATTCCCTGTAACCTACCTTACCCAATTACTTGACATTGTCAACCAATGTCTGTTTTTTTTTTTTAAAGAGCGCTGTTTGTCGACATAATTGTATTTGTGCTGCTTTTTCATCTATGTTTTCATTTCTTGTTTTCATTTTACTCATTATGCTCAATTAGTATTAAGCTTTAGTCATTTAAGTTTTTCATGCCCGAAACGCTTTGCGTAATAGTGACTTTAGGCATTGTATGTACTAGCTCTATCTATAAGTCCACCAATCTTTGTAAAAATCTCTTGTATGTATGTACCTTACCTAAATAAACATTTATTTATTTATTATTTTAATATTTGTACCTAAGTCATATGACTTTATCATTGTAATCTTAGACATCATCTCACATCATGGTTGTTTTACTGAGTACATATTCTACTTCATTATTCCTTGAAATGATCCTCATATTGTGCTTCTGTGAACCAATGTATAACCCCTGTTATGTTATCCCAATGTGCCTAGTAATCCTTGTTCATTATTGTGTATGGTTATTATTGTGTATTATTCTAGTCTGCTTTTGTGTCAAAATTTCTTGCAATGGACCCGTAAATTTGTTTGACAATTTTACTGTAATTATTCTACTTAAACTTATCTGTACCTGTAAAGTAAAGCTGTAAAGTACCTGTAAACATTTTTTTTTTAAATTTTACTGTGACTCATCTAAAAATTATTTGTTAGTTTAAGGACTTGCCCGAAACTCTATGCGTGCTAGTGGCTTTACAAGAATGTAAAATCAACTTAATTTCTTTGTTCTCTGTTAACACCTATGTACCTTCTTGTTTATAAATAAATATAATAAATAAATAAATAAACTTGCTGGTGTGGACCACTCTTGTTGTTGGTGTTTGGTGTAAGTTTGTGTGGTGTAATTCCTGTTATAAATGTCTCTAGCACCGTACCCGTGTACACACTGTAAACAATAGGCTCTGGCCTCAGGCTTGTCCCTCCACCTACCCCCACCATGCTTTCTGTTGGCGGTTGACTGGCAATGATATATTTATGATTTATTTCTCATCTAGACGAGTAATTTGAGATAAAGTGGGATTATATGATAAATTTATAGTGGATTCAATGATTATTGGAGATACTTTTAGTACAAATTGATCCTTTATCACGGATTTGAAACTACGTCTTCGGAAACTATAATTATGTATCTAGGTATTATAATACACGAATATCTAGATATTGGTGTATTATAAAGTACATCTCAGTATTTCAATTGAATGTGTTCTTCTCTAACCTTCGAGATGCTTGAGATTACATGTACCAAGTCACGTAATCATGCATCTATGGGACCAATGGCGGATGTCACCATAGTGACATTGTCATGTTGGATATAGTTGTATGATATAGATAATGAATCTTATGTGATTCTGATGTAGGATATGATTCTGATATGATATAGAAATAAATACATTTCTTAGATAATGATATTGATATAGTATGTTGAATTTCCCACACAAGCATTTGGCCTCTGATCTTGGACAGAGATTCTCTTTTACGGATCTAGATGTTCAAGGATGTGTACAGCTTTCATGCAGGTTATCTTCCATTAGTCTTGGGGTCAGGAGACATGTGTCACATGGTCGTGCCTATTGCTCTAGGGCGGGTCTCCAAGTGTAGAAGTAACATGTAACCCGTTGCTAGATCCCAGACTCTTATGTTACCCAGTAATTTGTTCCATAAATCAACTACCATATTTTCAAACAATAATTTACCCAGGACTTTCTTGAATCTTAACTTATATAATTACTGAAGGGGGTATCCGGCGGTGCCCGGGCTCTCTGTCCGGTTGTCTCTCCCTCCCTCCTGTTTTTTTCATTTCTCATTCTCTTCTCTCTCTCCTCTCTCTCTCTCTCTCTCTCTCTCTCTCTCTCCTCTCTCTCTCTCTATCTCTCTCCCTCTCTCTCTCCCTCTCTCGCTCTCTCTCTCTCTCTCTCTCTCTCTCTCTCCTCTCTCTCTCTCTCCTCTCTCTCTCTCTCTCGCTCTCTTCTCCCATCTCTCTCTCCTCTCTCTCGCTCTCTCGCTCTCTCTCTCCTCTCTCTCTCCCTCTCCTCTCTCTCTCTCTCTCTCTCTTCTCATCTCTCTCTCTCCTTCTCTTCTCTTCTCTCTCTCTCTCTCTCTCTCTCTCTCTCTCTCTCTATCTCTCTCTCTCTCTCTCTCTCTCTCTCTCTCTCTCTCTCTCTCTCTCTCTCTCTCTCTCTCTCTCTCTCTCTCTCTCTCTCTCTATCTCTCTCTCTCTCTCTCTCTCTCTCTCTCTCTCTCTCCTCTCTCTCTCTCTCTCTCTCTCTCTCTCTCTCTCTCTCTCTCTCTCTCTCTCTCTCTCTCTCTCTCTCTCTCTCTCTCTTTCTCTCTCTCTCTCTCCTCTCTCTCTCTCTTACTCTCTTTCTCTCTCTCTCTCTCCTCTCTCTCTCTCTCTTACTCTCTCTTTTCTCTCTCTCTCTCTCTCTCTCTCTCTCTCTCTCTCTCTCTCTCTCTCTCTCTCTCTCTCTCTCTTCTCTCTCTCTCTCTCTCTCTCTCTCTCTCTCTCTCTCTCTCTCTCTCTCTCCTCTCTCTCTCTCTCTCTCTCTCTCTCTCTCTCTCTCTCTCTCTCTCTCTCTCTCTCTCTCTCTCTCTCTCTCTCTCTCTCTCTCTCTCTCTCTCTCTCTCTCTCTCTCTCTCTCTCTCTCTCTCTCTCTCTCTCTCTCTCTCTCTCTCTCTCTCTCTCTCTCTCTCTCTCTCTCTCTCTCTCTCTCTCTCTCTCTCTCTCTCTCTCTCTCTCTCTCTCTCTCTCTCTCTCTCTCTCTCTCTCTCTCTCTCTCTCTCTCTCTCTCTCTCTCTCTCTCTCTCTCTCTCTCTCTCTCTCTCTCTCTCTCTCTCTCTCTCTCTCTCTCTCTCTCTCTCTCTCTCTCTCTCTCTCTCTCTCTCTCTCTCTCTCTCTCTCTCTCTCTCTCTCTCATTCGGCTTTCCTCCCTTCCTCCTGGTCTCTCTCCCAGCAGGCAAACCAGGCTCAAATAACGTTAAATCAAGGTTATCGACATTGAATTAACGTTGTCGACGTTGAAGTAACGTTGTCGACGTTGAAGTAACGCTGTCGGCGTTGAAGTAACGTTGTCGGCGTTGAAGTAACGTTGTCGGCGTTGAAGTAACGTTGTCGGCGTTGAAGTAACGTTGTCGGCGTTGAAGTAACGTTGTCGGCGTTGAAGTAACGTTGTCGGCGTTGAAGTAACGTTGTCGGCGTTGAATCATCGCCGAAAACAGTCGAGAAATAAGTTGTTAAACACCATTGACAATCAAAACAACATTTCAGACATATAGAGGGGCACGCCGATCGACCCTGACTATGACTATGACACTCCCGATTAACAATTAGTTATAAGTGTGGAGGAGTATACCCGATCATACAATTAGCGTATACTATACATTATACATTTCCTAGACAACAGTATGGAGAATGCGTATGTTTGATTACCAATAATAAATAATATTATATATGTTGACATAGAAGACGGAATATTTGACTGCCTCAATTCAACCATATCTCATTAATTAATTAATCCATTATTTACTTCCCTCTAGGATAAGCGAATATTTAAAGATAATGATTGAACCTGTCCTGAACACCTTGATGAGTGCCCTGGACGGCGTCACCGTCACATTGCAAGGTTTACTCCATAACACTGAGAGTATTGTGACGCCTCATCTCCACTCCCTGGTACAGGAATTTAACCGGTAAGATTTTGTAATCTTATTCATTGAATAATAATAATGAGAAGACTTTGAGGTTATTATTACACTAAACATTATTGCAGTAGGAAATTATTATTGTCATTTGGGTAATTGAGAATTCATATTAAGAAAGTGTTCGAAGTTGGAACAATAGAGAGTTATAGAGACCATTTTGCCTCGTCACTCCAAAACAGTTCTGCGTATTGCGTTTTAGTTATTAAATTTGCTGGCGTGTATTAACTATATATTTTACAAGGGCTGTTCAGTACTATTACGCGGCACTACTTTATTTTAAATTTATGTGTTTGACTATATAAATATATTTTTTTAACTCCAGATATAGACAAGAAATAGGAACTGCTCTTCTGGATCAATGTTGGAGGCGCATTTCAGCCAAGTTTGAGAAGATGTCAACAATGAAAGAGGTGAGTCAGCGATTCCGTTCTTACAGTTTAATATCTAGAATTCTTCTCTGCCTGCTCTTCCCTGTACATCATGCCCTTCAGTCCTGCCGGCTCCCACCATAAATCATGTCCTTCATTGTCCTTCCATCCGGCCCTGCCTGACCTATCTTGCCGTATCCTGCTTGAACCCATCCTGCCCTGTGTGACCTTCTTGCCGTATCCTGCTTGAACCCATCCTGCCCTGCCTGACCTATCTTGCCGTATCCTGCTTGAACCCATCCTGCCCTGCCTGACCTATCTTGCCGTATCCTGGTTGAACCCATCCTGCCCTGCCTGACCTATCTTGCCGTATCCTGCTTGAACCCATCCTGCCCTGCCTGACCTATCTTGCCGTATCCTGCTTGAACCCATCCTGCCCTGCCTGACCTATCTTGCCGTATCCTGCTTGAACCCATCCTGCCCTGCCTGACCTATCTTGCCGTATCCTGCTTGAACCTATCCTGTCCTGCCTGACCTATCTTGCCGTATCCTGCTTGAACCCATCCTGCCCTGCCTGACCTATCTTGCCGTATCCTGCTTGAACCCATCCTGCCCTGCCTGACCTATCTTGCCGTATCCTGCTTGAACCCATCCTGCCCTGCCTGACCTATCTTGCCGTATCCTGCTTGAACCCATCCTGCCCTGCCTGACCTATCTTGCCGTATCCTGCTTGAACCCATCCTGCCCTGCCTGACCTATCTTGCCGTATCCTGCTTGAACCCATCCTGCCCTGCCTGACCTATCTTGCCGTATCCTGCTTGAACCCATCCTGTCCTGCATACAAGCGAAGAATATTCATTACTGTAATGACATGATCACAATAATACGTATAAGCATTCACAGCCATCATTGGCAACACCTGACCATATTCAGTGGGTTGTGGCTCGCTTGGTCTCACTACTCACACATCTGCACTCTAAATATTCGAGTCTCTTGGCGACATGTAAAAAAATATAAGAAATTACCTCAAATAATTTACTGAGCCAATACTTGCAGTAACGTAAATGAATTTGGAATGTCACACAAAACTCCGGTATTCTCTGAGAGTCGTAAATCACTAAACCTCACTCATTAATGCTATATGCTACTAACACTTTAATCTTATCATATGTAAGTTTAAGCGGTCTTTCTTAATGGGGCGAATGCTCGCTGTTTTCAACTTTCTTCAAACACTCAAAATTTTGTTTGCATAATCTATACGGTAAATGCTCTAGCTTTTCCTAAGGGATCAACTTCATAACATGAACCGGAAAAAAAGAAAATTTCAAATTTTCAAATTATCTTTAAAAAATAGTAATAGTAATAGCAAGTAAAATAATACGAAGACCTTGCTGTAAGAGCCTCCCACTCTTGCCCTCAAGGCTGCGATAGCGCATATCTTCCGGTGTACTGATAAAATCACGTTTAAGCTCTCGAGCCTCAAATTAATATCTTCAAACTGTTCTCTTTCCTTATAGTGACATATTTTTACATTTTACATTCATAAAAAATATATTTACATTTTTTACCTTGGTAGTGGCTGACATGAGTGTCTAGTGTTGTTGCATACTTATAGCAGCGTGTTTTCTCAGTATGTCTCGCTAATATGGAGTGTCGAGTTGAGTAAATCGGGTTTTCTTTCACCAACCATTTTACAGTTGTCCTTGTGTGGTGTAGCTCGCCTGAGGTGAACCCATGGCACGGCCTAAATGACAATTGATGTAATGTATGACCACTGTCAACTCCCTCTTAATAATTTAAACTGACGAAGTTTACCCCAAGTATACTCTGTCGTGTTATCTAGGAGAAGACGCCAAGACAATAGATGTCATCTGGGGACTTCCTGATCCCCACTTGACGGACAGCCAGGTACCGTAGCCCCTGCGTCACTTCTCTCGTCATGTGAACACAATCCTCAGTGATCAACACTTCATTATTGGTACATAAGCAACCAGGGGCGCTGGTTGACCTTACAGCCTTACAAGAGAGAACATGTTTGAAACATACAAGATACTGAGGGAAAATTTAAAAGAAGAGCTTTTTTAAACTTGGAGAAAGTAGGACAAGATGACATAAGGAGAAGCTGGAAACGTAAATGAGTTGAAGTAATATAAGGAAGTTCTCGAGCCCCGTGCGGGTGATCCGTAAGTGGAAGACACTAAAAGAAGTTATGGAAGCCACCTCCATCCACATCTTTGAGGCCAGACTAGAAGAAGAATTCGAACATCAGATTTATAGCGCAGCAGGAACAACAAGGTTAGTAGGCGGGACATAGAGAGCCAGACCTGACCAATAAGAACAACCCACCAGCGTCACTGGCTCCCGCCGCTACCACTGGTGCCACACTTTACATTTCTTTTTAGCCTGGTGCCATCGTTAATGAAGAGAAAATATTATCACAAATTTAAACCCAAAAACCACAAACACAGTCCACTTGAAGACAAAATTCCTGCTGGGGGGAGGTGGAGAACAGTCGTTGCATGCGACGGACTCGTTAGGAAGGCACTTGAGAGGCACTTGAGTGCCTTCCTTGAGAGGCACTTGAGAGTGCACCTCTTAAGACAATATGTGAAAGTTGTCTAGACCTATACATATATTTTTTTCATCATTTGTTTAAGTTCAGTACAGCTCTAATTAACATGTTCCCCAATTGCAGGATATGAGCAGCGTGTTATCAGTGTTGTCACAGTTCCTGCAGACGGATCAATATTATCATCGCTTCGTGAACGCAAGGGATGAGTTTTGGGAAAGGCTTCAAAATACATGGAGCATTCTTAAAGGTAAGAGCAAATAGTGGAATTTTAGTGATAATCTGTTATAAAACCTGTGTCATCCGTTATTGGTTTTATTTGCAAAATTGGTTTATATACAATTTGTATAAGCATAATTTTGCAAACGTTTTAGCTTATCATAAATATTGTTTATAATTAGTTAACGGATATGACCAACCAACATGTCCGCATTCCTGGTCTGACTCTTCAGTAACCCCCAGTACATGCGCCTGGGTACCGCGCACACGTACGCACTCACACCCGCACGCACTTATACACACACACACACACACACACACACACACACACACACACACACACACACACACACACACACACACACACACACACACACACACACACACACACACACACACACACACACACACACACACACACACACACACACACACACACCTGTCCTGGATAGACTGAGTGAATGGTCCAACAAATGGCTGTTGAAGTTCAACCCGAGTAAATGCAAAGTAATGAAACTAGGCAGTGGAAACAGGAGGCCAGGCACAGGATACAGAATAGGAGATGAAGTACTTAATGAAACAGACAGAGAGAAAGATCTAGGAGTTGATATCACACCAAACCTGTCTCCTGAAGCCCACATAAAGAGAATAACGTCTGCGGCATATGCGAGGCTGGCTAACATCAGAACGGCGTTCAGGAACCTGTGTAAGGAATCATTCAGAATCTTGTACACCACATATGTAAGACCAATCCTGGAGTATGCGGCCCCAGCATGGAGCCCGTACCTTGTCAAGCACAAGACGAAGCTGGAAAAAGTCCAAAGGTATGCTACTAGACTAGTCCCAGAACTAAGAGGCATGAGTTATGAGGAAAGGCTGCGGGAAATGCACCTCACGACACTGGAAGACAGAAGAGTAAGGGGGGACATGATCACAACCTACAAAATCCTCAGGGGAATCGACCGGGTAAACAAGGACGAACTTTTCAACACTGGTGGGACGCGAACAAGGGGACACAGGTGGAAGCTGAGTACCCAAATGAGCCACAGAGACGTTAGAAAGAACTTTTTCAGTGTCAGAGTAGTTAGCAAATGGAATGCATTAGGAAGTGATGTGGTGGAGGCTGACTCCATTCACAGTTTCAAATGTAGATATGATAGAGCCCAATAGGCTCAGGAATCTGTACACCAGTTGATTGACGGTTGAGAGGCGGGACCAAAGAGCCAGAGCTCAACCCCCGCAAGCACAATTAGGTGAGTACAATTAGGTGAGTACACACACACACACACACACACACACACACACACACACACACACACACACACAAACAAACGAATGGCTGCTAGTATTTAATCCAACCAAATGCAATGTTATTTGGATTGGAACAAGAGTGAGAGGGCCAACAGAGCAGTATAGGGTGAAGGGAAGACAGAGTCTGCAGTCAGAAAAGGAGGCAGACCTGGGAGTGGACATATGTTGCCAGAAGCCCACATTAGCAGAGTAACAACAGCTGCATATGGCATACTGGCCAACATCCGTGTAGCCTTCAGATATTTTGACAAAGGGCATTTCCTGGTCCTATATACAGTAAAGGTGAGACTTACTCTAAAATATTCGTCCCCAGTATGGAACCCTTACCTGAAAAAGGACAGAGAGAAACTAGAAAAAGACCAAAGATATGCAACGAGACTCGTGCCGGAGCTGAGGGAATGGAGTATGAGGAAAGACTGAGAGAACTGGACCTTACCACACTGGAGGAAAGGAGAGATGAGGGGGGACATTATAACAGCTTATAAAATTCTAAGGGAAATTCACAAAGTAGACAAACGAACGTTGTTCAACGCTATAAACAGTAGAATGAGGGGACATAGATGGAAACTGGAGACCCAGTTGAGTCACAGAGACAACAGGAAGAACTTTTTTTGTGTTAGAGCTGTCAATAAATGGAATAGGTTAGATGCAGAAGTCCTTGATTCTAAGTCGACTCAAATTTTATGTGTAAATACAATTGAAGCGTGTGAAATGAGTCACTGCATTAATATAAGAACGTTCGGAAAGCGAGACTTGGAGACTATCTCAACCCTGCAAGCACATCTATGAGAGTACACACACACACACACACACACACACACACACACACACACACACACACACACACACACACACACACACACACACACACACACACACACACACACACACACACACACACACACACACACACACACACACACACACACACACACACACACACACACACACACACACACACACACACACACACACACACACACACACACACACACACACACACACACACACACACACACACACACACACACACACACACACACACACACACACACACACACACACACACACACACACACACACACACACACATATACACATACACACACACACACACACACACACACACATATACACATACACACACACACACACACACACACACACACACACACACACACACACACACACACACACACACACACACACACACACACACACACACACACACACACACACACACACACACACACACACACACACACACACACACACACACACACACACACACACACACACACACACACACACACACACACACACACACACACACACACACACACACACACATACACACACACACACACACATACACTCTTACTTCAACCTTGACGACGAGCGGACGTCTGGACTCCTGTTCCGCCTGGAGGCCGTTGTGAAACGTGCCGCGATTGTATCTTTTAGGTCTCAATCCTGCCGTCAGGCATTCCTATTCAGGGTCATGCCAGTCAGCGACGAGAAGGGATGCTCTGCTCCACCAGCCACTCCCTCCACCGTTACTACGTCCCGTTAAGGACGTAGCCGCTGGTATGAGGTGTCTACCGCCGCATCTAAGGTACATGGTTGCCTGCACCGTGATGCACACAGTCATACTTCGCTTTCGGGAGAACTACCCTCTCACCAAGACCGAACTACTGGCAAAAATCTCCAACCATCGCCAACGTCTCACCGGCTGACATCCTGGAGACCAGAGATGGTGAGACGTTGGAGACTTGCTCTTCTCTAGTAATATGGAACTCCGCACACTATTCTCCATCGCAACCAGGACTGCCCTGCTAGATGCAACCTCATTCTCACACTTCCACGACGCTACCTGGCAGATAGGACCGTCTTTGCCAGACGAATCAGCGAATGGATCATCGACCACGAAGACGATGAGATCATGACTAGCATAGACACCCTGACCCCGGCACTGATTGCCAAAGTCATCATCAGCGTCGACAACCGACACTGAAGGTGACCTATAGCAGGCCACTGCAGCAACCCACGCCACGAAAAATGGCTTTAGATTCACCAGAATTGCAATACCACTCGCCCTCGTGATAAAGGAGAGGTACATGAAGCTACGGCAGTGCTTCAAATGTTACCAGTACTCCCACTTCATCAGGAAATGCAAACATCAACAAGAAGGAAAAAGTAGAATTTACACCCAAGACCACTACTACACTACTTGCACGGCCAACCACCAGCGATATCTCCATAGTAATGGCGAGCACACTACAGTCTCTCCTGACTGCCTTCACACGGCTTGGTTGTAATCACATTCTGATACCCACCATCCATTTTCCTGCTTCCTACGCTTAGAAAGATGGAAGGTAAAACGACAGTGACGCTTCATGCAGGTCGACGTTCAATCACCGACCGTTCAAGTGGTTGGGTACCATTCCTTTTCCAGTCCCATCCCAAATCCTTATCCTAATCCCTTTCAAGTGATGTATAGTCATATAGAGCACTTGGCTTTTTCTGCTGATAATTCCCTTCCCTTCCCTTTCTGACTGCCCCAACAGACAGGAGATCATCAAGCATATTGTGGTGAGTACAGCCTCCACTACACCTCGACCGGCCAACAGCAAACGTCAGCATTCATTACCGTGCCTGGCAGCACACTTGGGGAAGCAGCTACCTCTCCACCACCCGGCCTTTGGGAACGCCACAACCAGACGAACTCATCACCACTGCCCACACCACTACCAGCCAAGCCTGCAGCCACCACCAACACTGATTCTACCTCGCCGACAAAATGGCTGGGCAATGACTTCGGCCTCTGCGTCCACACTATAAATCAGCTGCTCACTGCAAATGGGTTACCAACTATTACTGTACCCGGAGACCATCTTCCTGTTCCTGCACCAGCGCCTCCAGCCCCTGATGCCCTGTCACAGCACCGCTCGACCCACAGATGGGTTCCATTGCAGTTATTGTGACATCGACTCCTGTACATCAAGCTTCTGCACGGCCAACCTCCCCTGTACCTTCTGAAGCCTCAACCGATCCTGCAACAACCAATGCAGAAGCACCGGCCTCTATTCCGCCACAGCCTGCGAACTGTAACAAATACTCGTTAATGGACTCTGATATCTCTTTAAACATCACCGGTTCATCTACCTCGTCTACCACCAAGCCTGGACCTAAACTGCCCATCGACCTCACTAAATACCCTCTCCTCCGAGGTAAACTGGCCAAAGTGGAAAGACTCTACAAATCCCACTGTTTCAACGGAGCGTGGAAGACGACATGCAATTGATAAAATGGAAAAGCACATTGACATAATCGTCCTTTCACCAGGAGATTCTGCGACTTTGACACCCTAGACCCGGATATTCGACCAGGGGACTATGGCACCCCGAGAAGGCAGAGGCAAACGCTTGCTCCTGTAACACTAACTTCCCAATTCCAACCAGACGATCGAGGGCCAGCTACACTGACACCTGTTAATGGACAATTGTGAGAAACCATGAATATTTTAGTTACCCACTTATAGAAACATCCGCAAGTTTTATCCAAGGTGGTTAGGCATGGCGCCGGCTTGCCCGATAGGTGCCGGGAGTTAGCGATTCTTGGTGGGCTCCTGGTGTACCGTTAGGGCGCGGTGGGTGGCTGGATTCGGCTCTTGTCCATATGAGTACGAGTTTACAAGGGGCCTTGACTTTGGCTACTTGG